TAATTTATTATTTTATTTTATTTTGTGGGATTATTTGCGTTTTTGCTTGATTAATTAATTGTTGCATTTAGTTAATTAGTTTGACTTAACTGTTTTATTAATTATATTACTTGATAAATTGTAATTATTTAATTGATTTAATTATTGAATTGTTTTATGTTAATTGTTTATTTGTTTTACTTATTGTAAGTTAGGGTTTTATGATTCACATTGCAGCCGACTTATAGTTAGAATTAGGATAAGATTTAGGTTTTAAGTGAAGCCTATATATACATTATTATATGTCAGTATAGGGTTACGAACAAACCCTATTCATGTAGTGAAATATAGAGAGATACAGAGAGAGATAAAGAGAGGAAGGCTTGGGTTTTGGCTTAGGCTAAGGCTGAATCTAGGAGGGGAGTTTGGCGTATTCTTGTGGGTTGAACTAGGAGCAGCAGAGCTCGGTAAAAACAACTGATGTTGCCGGAGTTGCTAGAGACAACAGTTTAAGGTTTGAAAACTGAAACTCAAGGCAAGTCTCTATTCTATCTCTTTCCCCTAAACCTGTGTTCTGTGCATGCCTAGGTAGACTCCAAGGGTTATTTAGTGCTAAAACAAATCTTTTATACATGATTAATCGGACTAAAACAAAGAGTTTCATGATTATATATGCTTGTTCGTGATTTTCCTTATTATTAGGTTTTTATGCATGAACTGTTGTTTAAGTTGAATCTTTGCCTACTAAAACACTTAAAATAATTTAGTATGGACGTATGAGACTTAGGTTGAAGCTTAGAGGCCTTAACAATGAAGTTTTAGGGTTTACAGAGGCTGAACAGATGAAGAAGATGACTTCAGCACCAACTAAGCCGACTGAATTGGTAACTTAGCCTGCTGAATTGGTAACTTAGCTTGCTGAATTGGTAACTTAGCCTACTCAGTTGGACCGCAATCTGGATTTTTGGTTTAATTGCCCAGAATTTGCGTTTTAATTGTTTTAAAGCGTTATTTGGGCTATACAGGGTAGTTTTACTTCATATAAACTATTTTAAATGTTGTATATGATTGGTATAGACCCGTAAAATTATGAGGAAACATTAATTCATAATTGGACGAAGGAATAGGGCAAGATGAACCTAAGGGGAAAAGCTAGTAGGTTGCGCACTGTTTGGTTAATTAAATTACTTGCCGGAATTTGGAGCTTCTGTGATATAATTTAGTACTGTATAATCATATCTAAACAGTGATATAAGTATAGTAAAATACTTGCAATTAACTATGCCTAGTTTGGATTAAATTGGTATTTAGTTTGCTTTAACTGTATCAATTTATGGATGATTTGGAGAATTTAAATGCTATGAATTATTTTAGCTGTTTAAATTGTTGGAGCATGATTTTTAGGTTCTGTAATGAATGCCTGAAATATGTATTAAGCTGTATTTATGCATATCCTAGATAATGGTTGATAAATAACAATTATTGTTTTAACAATTATGTTATGTGGAGGATTGTATGCACCGGTACCTATGTTGGGGACGAATTAGTTAAAAATACCAAGTCCTACCTATTTAGAAATAAGTTGGATTAACAACAAAAGTTAAGTCCTACTATATATGTGTATATACACCAGTATGGGACGGTGGCATATTAGGGACGGCTTAATTCAAAACACTAAGACCTATCTATTCTGGGGACGGATTAGTTCAAACACTAAGTCCTACCTATATTGAAATAAGATGGATTAACTATAAAAGTTAAGTCCTACTTATAACTATGTGTCAGGTCAATAGACCCTTTTAAATGACACACCGTGAACGAACTTTATATATTTATATTATGGTGCCATGGTATGAGTTTAAGTCTCAGGACCATAGTTAGGGTATATATATCACCTAGGATGGATAACTAGACAATAGTTGTTGTTCCTTGGTAGGTCTAGGTACACATGACCACATTATGTGTGATTTGCATGGTATCTCTACTCAGGCTGAGACAGACCTATTGGACTAGTGAGTATCCTATAGTATGTACTTATACATATATAGACTACTCTAGATATTGTTGAGCTATTTAGGATGTATCTGCGTATCGGGTTTCTGTCTGGATCGTAGATAAGACTTGCATGTGGGCCTGACCCACTTTTTTTTTTTTTTTTTTTTTTTTCAGGTACTCGTCAGTTCCAGGGTTAGAGCTTGATCATGCAGAGCAAATACAGACTTCCATTCCTCCGACTACGTAGGAATACTATCTTATTTAGCTTTGGATTTGGATTACAGTTATTTCTTTTCCAGTTTGAGATTTTATTATTAGGGGTCCATTTGAGGGATTCCCTAGTTGTTAACTTTATGAAGTTATTTTGGAGTTTGGATTTTAATAATTATATTTTGAGGATTTTTAATTAGAATTCGTTTCAGCCATTTATTATTTATTTCTTATTATTTCGATTTGTATTCTGTGTTTGTTAAATATTAATTGTTTGATATTCCCTCGGGTTTGGGCTTGGGCCTGATCAACCCGTGTCTCAGATCCGAGGGGTATCACATTGTTCATCCTGAGAGGGGAGGCTATAAGCCTTTGCAGTAGGAATCGCTGGAAGCATGGGAGAAGGTGGAAAGAATTCAGCCAGAGTCGTAACATAATCTTCGAAAACCCCCTCTGATGGGTCGTCAATTGGATTAACGTAATACCCTAGAGGATCAACAGACAGCTCCTTATTGTATGCGTCCGGATTGGCAAAGGCTCTTTAAGGCCCCTCAGGCAAAGGGTAGTCAAAGAACCCTTCCCTATAGCCTTTCGCATACCTCAAGGTAGCCGTTCGGGAGAAACGGGTCACCACTGCCTCAACTAGGGTTGCAAATGAGCCGAGCTGAGCCAAGCTTTGGGCTGTTCGGGCTCGGCTCGTTATCTATACTAAGCTGTTCGAGCTCGGCTCGAGTTCAGTCCCAAGCTCGAGCTCGGGCTCGGTAATTTTGGTAAGCTTAGGCTCGACTCGGCTCAGTTCGGTTACATACCTAACCATCACAAAATCGACAGTATCTCTTTCATGACATCTGGTCTCCAGTCAACAGAGAAGAGAATAAATACAGAATGCAATTTCAAGATGAAATCCAACATTTCAAGGTTTAATTGACTTAATACAGAACAAAAATTCAAAATGAAATCAATTATAGAAAACAATTTCAAGATAAAATCAAACCTTCTAAGATTTTATTGACTTAATACAAAAAATTTAAAATGAGATCAAATCTTACAATGTTTTATTGACACAATATATAAGAAAATTTTAAAATAGAAATCAAACGATTCAAACCTTACAAAGATTTTCTACTTGATCTACATATATGTTGCATTGCTTGTCCTTAAGATGCATGAGGGAGAAAGAGTTTGTGAGAGAGAGCCGTGTCGAGGAGGGCTAGTTGCCGGGATCATCCAGTGGAGCTATAGAGGACAGCCGCAGAAGACTTTTTAGTTTTAGGGTTTACATTATCCTTTAACTTAACAGCATACCAATGATTAAGATATGTTAAAAATTAATGGCTGAGATGAGAACTTATTTGGATAATGGGCTTTTGGGCTTTGCTAATATAATGATTTAAATTGGGCTAAGCTTGTACTTATGTAGTAATGTAGGCAAAGCCTTTTAAATGTAAAATGATATTACAAATGGGCCTATATCTTAACGAGCATGTTCATGAGCCTAGCGAGCTGAGCTCAGTGTTGCTCAAGCTTGGCTCGTTTACTGAACGAACTTGAAATCTGTGCTCGAGCTCGGCTCATTTACTAACGAACCGAGCCTGAGCCGAGCTGAGCCCGAGCTGTTCATGAATAGCTTGGTTCATTTGCAACCCTAGCCTCAACTATCCCAGGAACACGGCTAAGACGATCAACTAGCTAAACATGTTCAGCTTTGGCAGCCTGCAGCTGCTTCTCCACTTCGAGTTGTGCTACCCTTTCAACCCCCAGGGCCATTTCCAGCTCATCCCTCTCCTTTTGAAATTGGCCAAATTAAGACTTCACCTTTCCCAGGTTAGAAGAGAGCTTTTTGGTTGTGTCCTCCAAAGATCGAATCTTACGATCCCTAGATTTGATGGCCCTCTGCATGGTCGCCATCCCAAATATTGTCTGCATAGGCGACACACAGTTTTAAAGTCCATGAATAAAAGTGATTCAACGACGAAAGTTAAAGGAAGATGGAAACGAAAATTACTTCCATATATATGCGCACGACCCAAGAATGCAGACTATACATCTGTCCCATATTTATGAGGGGCAGTTGTAGGGGCAAGATGAATGGGCAGAAAATCCACTGAGCCGGATGCAGCCTAGCCCACCATTTTAATTAAGTAACCCAGATAAAAGGGGCCGGACTGACCCTAGGCTGAATTAACAAAACCTAGGAGCATTCCCAGTTTTAGGTCAGTCCAACAGCGAAAACCCCAAGTCCAACCAAAGGCCCATGGGCTAATCAGGCCTCTATTGGCTCGGCCCGCTCAACCGCAGTCACAGTAAGACCGATACCAGGCCCAACTCTACTTGCATTCTATGTGAGCCTTACACCCATCGTGGCCCGAGAAGAAAACCCAGCTCATAAAAGGCCCAAGTCTAAGAGCCAAGAGAGGGATTTTAAGGCAAATATAAACTTTTATAAATAGAAGTTAGAGAGAGAATGGAAGGAGGATTGTTTGGAATGTAAGAAAATTCTTTCATAATATAGAGAACTATTTCTTGCATCTTCAACTACTAAAGATCTAGATTCATAAATTTATGAAATACGAATATAGAATTTATGCAGCTAACTCAGGAAAGTTTAAAAAGTTTGAAATTTATGTAGTCCACCCAAAATAGTTCCAAAAGCTTGATTGGGTTCGTGAGTATCACATTTGTGTCCTTCGAGAGAAAAGGTAAGTAAAACTTATCCAAAACAGCAGTTGATTTGCGAAAAAGTACTTGAAAAACAAATTATTGCAACGCAAGCCCACATTTCTATATATACATATATATATATATACACACATATCACTCTCCGTGTCTATAAATAAGCATAGGGTTTGCAAATTAGGGTTCTCTGTCTCCTCTCTCTCGCTCAACCCCCTCACCAATTCACCAAAACCAGATAGAGAGAGAAAGAGAAATCAGCTGCCTTGATTGATTCGTTACCATGACCGGAAAGGCGAAGCCGAAGAAGCACACAGCTAAGGAAATCCAGGCGAAGGTCGACGCCGCCACCACCAACCGAGGCGGTGGCAAGGCCGGCAAGGCCGACCGGTCGGGCATCGAGAAGGGCGGTCATGCCAAGCTCGAGTGTCCGCACTGCAAGGTCACAGCACCAGACATCAAATCGATGCAGATTCATCATGATGCCAAGCACCCGAAGATGCCCTTCGACGAGTCGAAGCTCAACAATCTTCATGCCACTCTTGTCCCCGCCGAATCCTCCTCCAAGCCTCGTCCTGGCGTTCGCGGCAGCCTCAAGAAGTGAAGTATGATGAATAATATAGTACAATTACTATAAGTAATTGATGATGATCTGCTCTTTGTTGTTGTTTTTCTCTGATGTCGTCTTGTTATGACTATGAAGTTTATGACTATATGGTTATGGAAGACATGTTATGGGATATATGTGTATGGTGTTATTTTGTTTTATGGCTAGTGATCTTAATTGTGGTGGTTATGGTGTTAGATTGTGTTTCCTGATTTATTAGGGGACTGTTGAAAATTAGAATAAGTTGTATGATTGTCTTATAGTGATGTTGTTTAGACATAGAGCATATATCAGAAATGGGTAGCATTAGGGGTGGGTTGAAATTTAATATAATTTTAGTGATACTTTTACTAGTCAAGACATAAAATCGTATGTATTTACGTCCTAGTGATGTTCTGGCATCTGAGGTTCGTAGCTTGATAGCTTCATTTTGGTTCTTGATTTCTTTCTTGTCAGGTGGGTAACATTCTGTTGTTTAGAATGATATATAAGATCTATTAATTGCTTCTTGTCCCAAAATCGTTGTATAAAATGTTGGCTATATTACATAAGCCCATAATAACGGTTTCCGAGGACTTGATCCCAAAATTGGACTATTGAATGATAACAGATGTTACGGCTCATTACCGTTCTTTAATGGCAAAAGGCTATTGTTCTGTCCTAAAACTGCCTATGTGAGGTGCTAAGATGGTTAGATTGGAGATAGACCACAACCTTTTACATTTATTTAGAACAAAGTGGCTTCATTCATTTTGGAACCCGCGACCCTACTCTGATGGATTCAAAATAACATATGTATGGCACTCCAAAGTGGGTTTGGGCAAATTCGATCCATGGGCAATTTGAGGTCTGGTAATTGTATAGGAGGTTGGTGGGTGTTCAGGATCCTTCCTTTCCATGTAGGGAAATTTGGCGCACAAAAGTCCCTTTAAAGGTGGCTTTTTTTGGGTGGGCGACAACTCTGGGAAGTATTTCGGCGATTGATAGTTTGAGAAAAAGGCGGCAGATTATAGTCAATCGGTCTTGCATGTGCAAGAAAGCGGAGGAGTTCGTTAATCATTTACTGTTGTACTGTCTAGTTGGTAGGGAAGGTTGGGACTTCATTCTTGGCTTGTTTGAAGTGAGTTGGATCATTCCACTTTCTATGAGAAGCACACACGGAGTAGCGAAGAATGCTTGAGATGCATCAAGGGCTGCCCCCTTCTCTCTATGGTGGAGGTTATGGCGAGAAAGGAATAAGAAATCTTTCGATTGGGAGGAGACTCCTATTTGGGCTTCCAAATTTATATACTACTTTATTTTTTTTAGGTTCATGGGCGGTTTTGTATTTATGTGGAAGATCTCACTCTCTTTTTGGAAAGCTTGAGAGTATTGTTTCTTTTGGCCTTTGTGCAGTTGTAATGGGATGCGCTCCATGTTTGAGCGCTCCATGTTTGAGCGCTCCCTGTTTGAGTGCTTTTCTATATATACACACACACACACACACACACACACACACACACATACATGGCACTCCAAACCTCATTTTCAACTTTTCTTAAGCTGCTTCTCTTATTTAAGAGTTTCAACCTCTTATTCAAAGCTAGAACTTTCTGTTTGGAGTGTAAATATACTGATTTGCAGGTTAAAATTACAACATTAGAGACTGGTACAAACCTGTGGCTGTGGTTTATTTAGAATTACTGATTTGGAGTATAGATCTTCTAATTCTGGGGCTAAAACTACTGATTTTTGGAGGCCAGAACTACATCTAAGGCTATGGTTCTATGGGTGGTTCAGATACGAGGTACTTGCGTTATTTCGTTTTTTGTTTATTTTGTTTTGTTTTGTTTTAACTTAGTATTGCATAAACTTTGTAGAATATTCATTTGATGATTTGTTTGGTAAGATGACTTGGATCTTATTATTTTGTCAATATCTTGATAATATATTAATGCTTTACTCCTGTTATAGCTTGATAATATATTAATGCTTTACTACTTCTGTAATGTCTTTATATTTTTTTGTAGTTAAAAATGGCAAAACCATTTTTATTATGCATCCTTAAAATTTATTTGGTGTTTTTTTTCCCTTTCATATTTCTTTTTTTCCTTAGTTTCGGTTAATATCTACTAGTAACTTAATAGTTGTTTGATTCAAAGTTCCAAACTCAATAACAAGCATTAAGTAGTAGTCAAAATGGCTAACTCAATATATGGTGTCTTCAAATTATTGTTATTTATTTTGTTTTGTTAAATTTATTAATCTTTTGTTTTTTTTTGGCTTTTTTTTTTTTTTTTTTTCCTTAGTTGTTACTGTCTAGCTATAAGCCTGTAACTCAACAAAAAATTTCCTAACTGTTTGGGTCAGCTACACGCATTCCTTTTTCCATGTGGTCAAAGACGGAGCCAATTAAGGTTTTGGTGGGGGGCTAAGCGGTCGTAAGCTGGCCTTGCAAGCTTTATTTTTTTACTTTTATGAATACATATTTGTAAGATTTTACGAAATGCTCCCCTAAAATTTCTCTGTTTTAAAAATCTCTCCAATTTTATTTTATTTTATTTTATTATTATATATTTTTTCTTTTCTCATTTACTCCTCTTCTTCTAATTCCTTTAATTCCTTTCAAAAAATTTTGTATTCCCCTTCTTTATTCAAACCCTATTTTTTTTTCCTTTAAAGTTGTCATTTTTCTTTTTCCTTTATTTTCTTCTTCATCTTCTCCTGTTTTTATTATCTCTTCTTAAAATTTCTTTTTTCTTGCACTCATGTATGATGTATGTGTTGTAACATTTTTTCCCTCTCATCATCTTCTTCTTTAATTTTATTACTATAATTTTATAATGTTTGTATTTTATATTTTTGAAATTTTCCTTATTGTAGTTTTATTCTTTTTATTTAAAAAAAAAAAATAACATAATATTTGAATCTTGATTATTAAACTTCTATGTTTCGGTTTGTTGTCTTTTTGCACAATTAACCTCCATGTTAATTGGAATTTATTTATTTTTTACTTCATTATGTTCATTATGCCCCCCCCCCCCCCAAAATAAATTTGTGGCTCCGTGGGCATGCGGTTCTATCTGAGTTCATTACCTCAATCAATTCACATACTATCATATATTTTCTTAGTATATCGAACCATGTTAATTTTTGTTTGTCGTCCACAACGCCCTTTTTTTTTTTTTTTTTTTTTTTAACAAAAAAACTTCGTTTGTATAAACTATTTATTACTATACATTTGGTTATTTGTTTAGTAGGATGAGTTGGATCTTGTAAAGTTATCAATATCTTGATAATATATGAACGCTTTTCTTCTTCTGTTATATATATTTTTTGTATCTAAAAATGGTAAAACCATTTTTACAGCATATGCTTAAATTTTTTATATTAATTAATTAATTAATGTTTCTGTTTTCATATTTCTTTATGTTCCTTATTATTGGTTAACATCTGGTGGTAACTTAATAGTTGTTTGATTCAAAGTTCCAAACTCAATAGCAAGTATTTATGTTCCTTGTTTGTGTTTTGTTAAATTTACTATTCTTTTGTTTTTAATTTTTCTTCTTAGTTATTACTTTGTAGCTGTAACTCAACTAATTTTTTTTTTTTAACTATTGGGGGTCAACTACGTGCATTCCTTTTCCCATTTGGTTATATTTAAGTTGAATCAAGTGACTCAAGTCACTTACGATCATATATTTGCTTATTATTTTGATCCGTGTTAATTTTTGCTTGTCCTTCCCCTAACATTACCCTCAATATTTATCACATCACTCTTCTTCGTTATTGGAGCAGTTTCTTGTAGCTATGTAGCTGGTATTTAGTACTGACTACATGTATCCTAGTAATTATTAGATGTGATTTTTAAGAATGAATATATGAGCATGTAATTAGCCTCTAATTTATAAATATATCGATATAAAAGAGTTGTGAATATATAACTAATTTGCTATTTGACTATATAACTTTATTATTGTTTCTTTTTTCTTAAATAATCAAGTAGTAAGCCTATGATTAATGACTATATGACTATGTAAGTTTTATACTTATCGTTGCATTTATAGTTACTAATTACTATTAATGTTAGTTAGTGCAATATTTTGCTAGCATCTAATTAATGATACGTTCTCTTCAATTTTACTTATAATTTATATAAAGTCCAATATAACAGGTAAAATATTTTAGGTGTTATAAAGTTGAATACAAGTAATTAGAGGCATTAAATTGTGATAAATTGGGGTCAATGACCTTTTAGGGTTTCATAGTAATTAAAAAAAAATCACAACGGTGATATGCTATTTCTATTAGAGCTGATACTCCTGATATCATTACATAGAGACTGTGACCATTACTTAACCTGAAACTGTGACTTAAAAACCATGTTGAGAATGCCTATTTGTACATTTTTACAAGGTTTTGATTTGGAAATTGTATCTATCATCAAAGAAACAATATGGTGATAAACGAGTATCAGATGGAGACGCATTAGTGGTGTTTTACGTGATAAAAGAATATAGATAAAATTATTAATTAGACCACCTATATTATATGGAGGTTGGGCATTGAAAAAGAAACAAGAAAAAATGCATTCATGTAGTTGAAATGAGAACGTTAAGAAGGATGGTGGGAATTGCTAGAAGAGATAAGAGTTACTAAATGCAGCCTCATCTGGAGACTGGATTGCTGCCTCATACAAAAATATCACAGTAAAAACACAATATTTTTGCAAAACATTAAATGCAGCCTCATCTGGATTGCAGCCTCATACTTATCTGATTGCAGCCTTAGGGTAGCCGCCTACACCTAGTGTAGGTTCTTAGGGTCTTCATCAATTCTCCCCTGCTGACTTCGGCGAGTTAGCATGATGGTACTCATGGAAGAGGTCTAGAGCAATATCATAAAACAAATCCTCAGTTCCACGTGAAGGATGGGAATTTGGGGTCAAAGGGATGAGGTCAATGGGTTGTTGAGGGTTAAAACCATGAACAATTTCAAAAGGGCTTTTTCCAGTGGACCGATTGACCAAGTTATTATAAGCAAACTCTCCAATGGGTAACACAAATCTCAATTACCCGAACGTTCACCTACTAAGCATTGTAGCAAGTTTCGCAAACTTCAGTTAAAAAACTAAGTTTGGCCATCAGTTTGACTCTTAAGAAGTGTGTTGAATCACAACGTGAATGGATCTTCCAATAAAGACTTTATTCAAGCTAAT